GTCTCGCACCACTACTCTCTCTCTCTCTCTCTCTCTCTCTCTCTCTCTCTCTCTTATATCTCTTTACCACTTTCTCTGAACTCAAGGTTCCGTTCGAAGCCGGAGCTCCATTTTTATCGGTCTCAAGCCCTACCGAGTTGACTGCAAGCCGGGTATGTTACAGTTGCTACTTTGGGGGATTTAGGGTTTGTTGTTGCTTAAATAGGGTTTGCACATAGATATGGTTTCTCAAATGGATTTTTTTGGGGATTTAGTGTTTATGGTTGCTGAAATGAGGGTCTTATTTTTTGGATTTAGGGTTTTTAGTTGCTCAAATGGCGAATTTTACATTTTATTCGGAACTAGGATTCATGGTTCCTCTTGATTATATTTCCTTGCAAGTATAGTTTAAGTTTTTTTCCTCTTAGTAGGGTTTTGAAGGATAGTTTTTTACTCTGTAAAATTTATTTACAAATTTTCTATATAAATCAACTTCACAGATTTTTCCCTTTCGTCTCTCTCTATATTTCTCAACTTCATTTGGAAAAAAGGAGCGAAAGAAAAACTCAGATTATTTTTATCATTTTATGATTTTGAATTTGAACATGTTTGGTTTGTTGTTAGATATTGATTAGCAGCCATATTATCATCTAAATCTATATGAAGATCATTTGTTTTGAACATCGCTTGATATACCCATCTAAACCAGATAAAAAGATCAGTTTTTATTTTAATCTAGTTATATTGGATTTTTTTCTCTCCGTTTGATCGAGCTTATCCTTACAAGTTTTTATTGTTGTCAGTGACTGAAAGTTTATCATGAATGTGGTCAACGACTGAAATTTTTAACTTGCATAGCTATAACTACTCAGAATGACGCGAAGATGTTCTATCCTCATACTATATTGGAAATTAGGATTATGTGCACAACATAACTGTGTTAGTAGATCATGATTTTCCCAGACGGTCCAAAAATGGAGAGCTGCAGCTTCATCACATTTAACTAACCATGCTTGTTCTAGCCTTCCTAGTGCAAGAAAACCAAAGCTCATCCATAAATACACCTAGCATCTAAAAAAAACCCAGACTATCAGATGCCAATTGTGAAATGATTTTTTAAAGAAACAAGAGCACCCAAAATAATGAGTATACTTTGCCAGTAAGAAGTCTGTGACACTATCAAACTGTACCTTGATGAATTTTGGAATGCCAAACAAACAATAATAAATAATGCAAGAATCTGAAAGTTTTACATAGAAACAAACATTGGGTAAAGCATGTAGCTGAAGTATGCTCATCCACTAGATGCATTTGAGATCCACACCATAAGTTAAATCATTGACACCATGAAAGTATCGTCCTACATTCATTAATTAAGAAAGAAGTCTACCTTAGAACCTAAAAGATCATTTAAAAATAGTTAAACATGTTCTAAAATCAAGTATTCAAGTAGATGAAAACTTTAATTTACACTAAGGAGAAGTACATTTTATTGAAAGCCCATGTGATATTTTAGATTTTTAATATAAATGCAGGTGGATGTGGATGTTTATGTGGATGACAGTTTTTTTTCAATTAATGTTGGGTGTCTTCCACTCTTGAGTTACATAGATATACAAACAAATTTCAATCTCAACCGTACGTTTTATAAGAAATGCATTGGATGGATGTGACAAGAAATCTTATTCAGAATATGCATTTTGGACATCAAATCAATGAAATACATAATGAATAGTTAAGACATAGTTTTCAGCTTTCCCAATGCCAAACAGGGAAAAATACCAGCACCACAGTTTATCAAACGGGACTTCCAGCTTTCAGACTATCAACTTTTACTTTTCTCCCAGATTCCAAGAAAGTCAGCAGAAGGGATTTTCCAAGGAAACTGCAGAGAAGGTTGTCAAACACTACCTAAATCTGGTTTGGTGACTCTTTAGCGTCCATCACATGAACAGAGCAGTGATTGCCCAATTGAGATGCACAACGGAATGCCAATGGGGCCTACAAACAAAGATCTTTTGGACTTGGAGCAGCAGAAACCTTCTTTTCTAGGTTTTTCACCTTAACTTTCTCATTCCTTTCCTTGATCAACTATTTTTTTCTTTTAGATATATGTGAAAACCAAGCATGTAGAAGCTCTGCACTATTCAAAATTTTGTTTAGAGGGAGAAGAAACCCATATGTCAATATGAAGTGTGAAATCAAGCAGGTTGGAGCTTCTTGTATTTAAAAACTATTGTCTTCTTTTATATATTTCCCTAGTGGTAATGTTTTTTCAGAATCGAGCAAATTTCTTCATATGTATCTCTCTCTTTTTTGGCTAGAAGTGAGCATATTTGTTTGCTCCTTTTTGTTTTTTTTGTTCTAATTTTGTAATCTTTGAATTTATAGTGTGTAATAGATTGTTGCACGTCCTTAATGGATTGCAGAGTCAAAGTTATCATTTTGCTCCAATGAAACTACTTTGCCCATAAATAAGAAACAACCCAACAATGGAAGGTCTGGTACCAAACTTGTTACAGCTCCAGTTCCTTCAAGCCAAGGTAAACCTTTTGATTGGGTCCTCAGGTTCTTTTGTATCTCAGGTATTTATTATTTTGCCTCATTACCTAATCCAAATTCCTTTGTTCCAGTTTAGAGGCATTAATGCAATGAAATAGTTGTAATATATGGAATCTTGCATCTGTTTTTAGAATAAGCGTAGTTTCGCTTTTCTTTGAACTGATAAGGCATAGTATTGTTATGAGCAGTGTGCAAAAGACTCGGCTTGGGCTTGGGACTCAGCCCCTGCCTGAGACAAGCAACTTGGCTGAACTCATTGCCTTCCTGCATGAACCTATAAAGGGCTAAAAAATCCCCGCGCCCCCCCCCCTCCCCCCCACACACACAAAAAAGAGCGTAAATATCCGTAAAAATTGATTGTATGTGTGCATTATTTATTGCATGTATGATGGAAAAAAGTGTATAGGAAATGGAATGTGGGAGAAATTGATATACGGATTGAAACAATACAAAAAGATCCAAAAAAAAGGAAAAATAAAAAATAGAGTATGTAATAAGAAAGTTTAACAAACGTATTTATCCATAAGTTTTTAGTGATTTAATGAAAGCTCTGTATACGAAACTTGCCTTGGCAAGGTGCCGAGGCGGAGTTACTCGGCCAAGTCCTAGTCCAAGTCGACTGGCCAATTTTTAAAACATTCGTTACGAGTAAACGTTGGGTTTGTGATGTAAATGCAGTATGATTCTTATTAGATGCTATATTTCTTGGAAGAAGCAGTTTATTGTATTTAAGGACTCAAGGAGTGTGTTCTTTTGTCTTATGATGGCTAATAGAGCATGCTTGTTACTGCATGATTGATCACTCCAGCTTTATATGTTGCCATTTTATCTGTTCAATAACATGACAATCCACTTCTAGAAGAAGAATATAGCACCTCAAAAGCATGACTAAGCCTCCAAAAGTAGGTGCTAAGGATTCATTGGCCGGTTGAGATAGCTTCAGTCACAATGTCACACCTACCTTCTATTGACATTTTAATTCCGAAAATGCATGTTAGGTTCCTCTTCTCACATAATCTCAACCTTGTATCCTTCACCCAATTCTTTAACTTTCCAAAATTTATGAAGTTCATTCCATTGTAAAGATTTCTTCAAGAGCTTCCATTGAGTCTGAAATGTATATTATTGACTCCTAAGTGTGAAGTTATGGCCAATGGATGCTCCAAACGTCTGGTTGGAATAAACTTTATATAAATGACAGGAGTCTTGTATACACATGTGAATCTTCTCTACGCTCCTCATCTGAAAAATACCTTATTTTCTTTGCATCAAATATGTCCCCGAAAACAGTGCAGTTTCAACTCTTATACATGAAACCCAAATCTCTCACTTCCACAACCTCACTCACATTTATTTTGTTCTGCCTTGTTCTCACTTGGAACTAATCCCATTTGGCATGTGGCTCTCTTGGTTTGTCTCTTGAAAGGCAAAGGCATGTTAATTTTTCATTTTCAAATGGGAAGAAAGAGTATAAAGGATTTGTCAATTAGGATGACTATCCTCTCTTCTGAATGTCGGTCTCTCGAGTTGTTGACCAAATAACAGATAGGACAGTATTTTTTTAAAGTGATTACAGTATTTCATATTTCAACGTAATCACGATATTCAAAACAAGGAACTAAACAAATAGACTTTGTATAAAAGAAACAAAAAAATAAAAACCTGAACTAGTAAGCATGTGCATGCATGTGCTTGCATTTGTATAACAAACTTAATTGCCATTCGTTGGATGGGAACAGGAGATTGAGTGTCATTATGATACAAGAAGTATTGTGCTATGGCAATCTTGCATGCGTCTTTTTCTAACTAGGGGAATATCGGTCCATCTTTCTTTTGTAGTATACTAATTTTTTATATGTTGACCTATGTCTGCATGCTCTAGTCATATTCTTGTTTCCAATTTTTGGATAAGTTCCATTATCAAAAAGAATTTTATATTAGTGTATCACAATACTAATATATTCGTCAAAAGATTCTACGCCTCAACATGGGTATTTCCTTCATTTACCCCTGCGGGTAAAGCTCAATCTAGGAGTATTTCTAGGCCCTCTAATTTTGGAGTTGTAACCTCTTCAACCCAGCGACCAAGCGCACTCTGCATGTGATCGAAGAAAATAAAGTCCTACAGTTGAGCATTTGTTGAGCAGAGACCGTCCAATTTTTAACAGTCATGAATAAGTGTTTACGAACTTAGTTTCTTTTTTTTTTTGTGAAAATAAATCATTTGGTGATTCTCATGTGGTTCCCAAATTTCAGATTGAAAACATCCTCCCAAGTAGCACTTTCACTCAGGGGACTAAGTAAACAGTATGCTCCTGTTGGAGCATACTATTTGCACTCTACATATCTGATTACACAAATATAGTGTAAGCCTCCCGCTCTATATCATTCTCGTTATTTGGTTGGAAGATGCTGTTTTAAATCTTTTCTGTCAATATTGATGCACGCACTGATCAAAATTTTGACTACCAATGCCCTTGCATTTGCTCTTGTTAGACTTGAAGTACAATACAACAGCAGTTCAGGGCTCCAATTATGCATCTTGGACTATATTAATCATATCTGTAGCCAACCATTTGCTGTTGCATAATCTTCTTTTTTCTAATGAAGTATTAGAGTTGAATACTTACTGAAAAGAACAAGAAAAAATCTGCTTAGAGTGAAACTTTTAGCCCCATCAGAATTTAAAAGTGCTATGTTTTCATACATTTAATCCATTATGTATGCCAAGTCTTTTTTTTATGCCACCTATGTTTCCCACTTTTTCCTTTACCTAATGTTTGTAAATTTCTAGTACCCAGGTCCTATCTAATAATTTGTTTATCCTCGTTAGGAGTTTTGTTTGCTATCGAAATCTCCCCAAGCTATAACAATAGATGCTACGTTCAACCTGCTATCAAGATCTTTGCATATGCACCATATATATATGTATATGCTGTGTATGTGTAGTCTCTACACAGTTTTCTTCCATCATGTTGATGCACTGGACTGGCTTCAGTCCTATGTATATGAACAACTTTGTGGGCTGTGTCTAGGCAAAAGAAAAAAAGAAAGGGACCAAATTCTCGAAAATTTATATGCTCAATTGGTCCGTTCTGATTGTGTTGCTTTTGTTAGTGCTGCACTTCCTATAATAATGTTACTTAGGCTTGAGCCTTGTGTTAGACACATGGGGCTTGTTTGATCAAGGATACATCCCTTGAAGTTTGTCCCGGAAAAACAAAGAAGGCTTACCTGCCCTTCCTTCCCCTGTTCTTGCACTTCCTGTTATGCATAACTTTTCCTTGGCAATTAGTTTCTTTGTATCCCTTCGCACAACTAACTTCACTAACTGGTGCAGTCCTTGGGAAAGTGAAGGATTTCTTGGGAGTTATGGCGGAAGCAAACAAGAAGCTAGAGCTCAGTGTGCAGGTAAGAACACTGAAATGGGCCAAAGCCTAGATCTTTATTCAACTTTGATCATTTTATCCTTAATGATGTGTGTCATTTCCTTCCAGGAGACTCGTGCAGACCCCGACATCGAAGTGCTTACCGGCAAGGAACAACAATACATTGAGATGGTAATTAGCAAAATTTTGGGTTTATCAAGCAGTTCTAAATCGGTCAAAACAATGGACGAGAAAAAGGATTCTTGAATTGGGCAGGAGTCTCTTTTTATCTAACATTTTGATATCTATGTAGGACTTGGTTTTGGGTGTAGCTGATCTTTATACACCTGAAGCTGTAGCTGCAGCCGAATCTGCCCTTTCTGGTACTGCTCCGGCTTTTTCTGTGCATTCTGCTACTGCTAGTAGTAGTGGCAGTGGTACTAGTAGTAGCTCAGATGGAGACGACAGTGATAGCGATGAGAGTAGTGGATCACCTGATAAATGTGAGGAACCCACTTTGAGTGGTGATTTGTTGAAGAGACAAGACAAGCGAAAAAAGCGGCCGAAGATCACAGAGCTTCAGTGATGCACTTCTTTTTCGGTTTCTTAGTTGAAAATGTGTGGTGTTGTCCTGTTTAAAATATTTTGTAGCTATTTTTACGCAAATGACATGTTTCTTTTCAAATTCAAGTTGCTCATTTTGCTTTTAGATTAAATACATGTTAATTGTTTCAGTGTTTTTCTATTGCAATAATAACAGGAAGCATTGCCTCCAAGGTTTGAGGAGAACGAATATTGGCCTTTTGCCATTGCATATTTCGGTATTTAAAATTTTTCCATTATCTTGCACTTAATTAAGGTTTCAGCTACCATAGTTTTATCTAAAGGCTTGCCATATGAGGCATCACACATTGACCTAGGTTTTTCTCTATGAATTCCATTTCCTTCTCATAATATGTTCTTTGTATATATTTTATTTGTTGATTGTCTTTTTCCATTGCCTAATTTGGTATCTAGAATTGGGAATCCAATTTATCAAAGGGATTGTATACAATGAGACCATTTACCTTTGATACAAGGCGTTCACAATTACTTACCGCCATCTGATGTGAAATCTGATAGTTTGGGACTTTGGGTGTCTTAAAGTTCGCGAAAAAATGCTTTTGAAGTTTGAGCTTGGTCAATAGAGAAAATGCAGCCACCCAATTTCATATATAATGGTCAAGATTAATTGTGACCACCTTGTATTAAAGATAAATGGTCTCTCATTTTATACTTTTCCTTTATCAAAATGCAGTTAACTCGTCCACTAAAGGCTTGTGATCGCAGAGCCTGGATTCTAATTAGGAAATAACCCTTTTAGAGAGATAATATAAGCTTCCTGTAAACACAAGAGGCTCTGTATTTTTAGCTGTGTTTTCCTTTCTTTGACTTAGCATGCTTTTTGGAAAGAAAATGGGCTCAACTTTCATTTTTCTCGACAGGTCTCTTAGAAACAGACTCCTAGATCTCAATGATGCTTATCCACATGTATGTTAGAAAATCTTGAGAAAATAAATAATATATATATTACATTTAACAAAATCATTTACAAATGGATAAGCATAAATATAATAGATGAGATCCAAAGAAATAGGTGAGGCAACGTGGGGTCTCATGGCGATGCCAACAGCCATACGGTTTACTTAGTGGTGGAGCTTGATTCAATGAAGTTTCTTTATCATAGCTAGGAGGGTTCTGCAAAGGTCTCTCTCTGTGATCAGATTTTGATTATGGAGGATCGAGAAGTTTAACTATTGATTTGGAAGCCTAGTGCTATTACATCAAATATGGATTGGGTTAGGGAATTTGGATCCCTCTTACTTGTGAAGCTGTGACTTTGATTACAAGCTAGAATATGATATGGAGTATATATTACAAAAAATAGCATTTTTTTTTTAAGAATATGCTCCAAAAGCAAGCATTGGGGTCAAGGACTAGAAGGGAGCTAACTTCAAGGAAGGGGCACATTAACAAATGAGTCTTTTGGTCATCTAATTGTAGAAGCAGCAAGACATTAAGAGAGCCGAAGTTTTAGGGACAAACCTTTCTCTCACCATGTTTGTCCCTGGGGCCGAGCTCCCAGTCTTGGTCATATGCTATGTCCGTGACTCCTTATTTTGATGTCACTTCTTAACATATTACCAGCTCCAAGATCCTTCCCTTTCATTGTCCCTTACCTTCTCTTTGGAAACTCAATGTCAGTTACATAATTCAATGCCATGATCTCTGGTCTTGTTCAATTGGGAAGCTCCTATGAATTGGTTGTGACCAAGAAGGTAGGAAGGTCATCAGAGTCTGACCTTTTAGCTCTCGTAGAGAGAGAAAGCAAGGATTTGAACCAGTCTCAAATTCATAGAGGGTCATCAAAAAGTGAGCTTTTAGAATTGAACAAATTGAATGAAGAAAAACAAAACGAACCAGTGAAGAAGAAGCTCAATAAGCAGTATAGGAAGGAGTTGGCTTTGGCTTTCTTACTCCTCACTGCCTCAGCAAGGAGCCTTTTGTCAGCCCAAGGTGTCAATTTGTACTTCTTGCTATTCCAAGGTGTGACTTTCCTACTTGTGGGTCTTGACCTTATTGGGGAGCATGAGCTCAGAAAGACCGGTTTTTAACGGTCACCCCATGTCTCAAAGATTTTGATTTTCTCTCTTTGAAAGTCTCGATAAGTTTGTTGGGTTGGAAGAAGAGTGAAGTATTTTTCTCAGAATACCCACTTCATTAGTCTATGTTGCTCCTTTGAGCAATGTAGATTGGGCCTTGAGCTCTTTTGGTCTTTGTTATATATAAGCATTCTTATCTGAATTCATGATAGGTATGGATAGAATCAGTCTTTAATTCTTGTTTGGGTGTGGCACCTTATTGGTGTTGCGATTGCACCTTATTGGTATTACAAAATGTTGTTGATGAGAGTAAAGAGATGTTTTATTTATTGAGCAATTCAATGGTGGGTAGGCTGGGTTCTCCTTCCCGACAGGTCATACTGCGGTGTAAGAGATCGTATATGTGAATTGAATTTTGTTGATTTTAAAACTATAGGTTCTGATCTCTCACTCTCTTTATAATTAAGCCTTTTATGTCTGAAGTCTGAACTGAATTCAGTTGGACTTCAATGACGTATGTATGTGCGCGTCTTGGTTTTGTTTTGTTGGTTATGTTACTACCTTCGTTTGGTCTCTCTCTCTTTGTTAACTGAACGAACAGAATTCGATTGTACTTCAAATTAAAGACTTTGCTCTTTGAGCTATGTGTTTTTAAACAATGCTCATACTCAGAGACGAATTGATAAGGGAGTGAGAGGGAAACAAATAGACGAGGGAGATAGGAATTTGAAATTGAAATGCTCATTACTTATTTTCCCCCTTTCTCATCTCTCTAATCTATGTTTCTTCTCTTCATCTCTCTCAAAAAATTTACTCTCTTTATTTATCCCTTCTCACACCCAAACACAGCACTCTTTAGAAACAAAAAGTTCTCTGTCGAAACCAAAAACTCTGCAAAAATCCGAAACTCACTCTTTGAAGGAATCCTAAAATGCTCTCTCATAAGTTACAAAATTCTTTAATTTAGGCTGGAAATTTGCACTTCAAATACCACAAATAAGAGAACCAGAAAAATTCAGGGAATTAATGGTAGAAATTTGAAAATAGAGAATGAATACATTACATCTCAGTGAATCCAATTCATGCGTAAAAGGCCAACCTCTTCCTCCTCTTTACAATTCAAAATTCCTAAATAAACTATATGGAGCCTACAATTCAAAATTCCTAAATAAACTATAAAGAACCAATTTTAGGCTCTGTTTAGTTTCCTAGAAATGGGTGTATATGCTAGAAATGGGTGTCTATTGTTTAGCATCCAAGAGAACCGGAAGATACCGATCCACTGTTTGGAGTGTATTAATATTATTTCATTATAATAATGTTATTAATATAATAATAATGTTATTAATATAATAATAATGTTATTGATATAACATTATAGTATAATATTGTAGCTAAAAACAGGTGATTTTAAGCAAGGTACTTAGGATAAAGTAAAAATAAAATTTTCAAACAATAGATAATTTATTGGGTAATTACAAAAAAATATCACCGTTCAATATTTTAAAAAATAATCAAATTCTCTGAAAACTACCTCTATACCCATTTTGTGATGGTTACAATATATAAATTACTTACAGGGTGCAGTTTGCATACTTGCATATGGACGCATCCGTAGGTGTAGAGGTAAGGGGACGCATCCGTAGGTGTAGAGGTAAGGTGCACCTAAAGTGCACCTTCAAATTTTAACGTGGTACATAATTTTGATGTAAAATGTTCTTAAGATTATTTCAAAATCTATTTTTATATCTAATTATAAAATTTTAAATTTCAAAAATGATTAAAATCAAGTAGATGTATAAACATATGAAAATCTTGAAAATGGCCGGCGTAGATAATATGTTGTAAAACACACTATTTCTGATACTTAAAATCTTTTTATTTTTCATAGTTATACATCTCGATATCAAGATGATCAATCAAAAGGTTTTTCAACATTAAAACTACCTTTTCCGATGGATTGTTTAAGGGCATCTGTAGTTCTACATTATTAGGTTGCATCTTTATATAAACTTTTTCCTTATTTATATATTATAAAAAGATGTGTACTCCCCCTATTTTGGTATTTGGCTCAAAATATTCACATCAATCTCCACGCAGAAACTAAAATCCTGCATCCAGGGCGCATCTAAGCTACGTAAATAGGCAGTATCCATGGAAATGCGCATCAAAAGACCCATTTCCATGGAACCAAACGGGTCCTCAGAGAGATCGTTAGAATAGGTAAGCCAAAGAGAATGATTCTTTGGGCTATGCAATCTCCAATTCAGGGTGTCAAGTTAGATTTCTGATAGTAGCTCAGTGGGTGATCCATGCCTTGCAGGTGTTGGTGGACTTGGTCAGGTATCATACTGGTTCTGCCTGGATTCAAGAACGCGTGGGGTTTCATCAGCTAATGAAGCTGAGATGCAACGATTCAGGACCGCGTGGGATCTCATCTGTTAATGAAGCCTAGATGCAATCTCTTTTGGACATCTCCGCTCTCAAGGTTGGTTATCATCAACAATGGTGTGAGATGTAACAGTGATTAAGCGTGACTCCTTGCATGTGATTAAATGGTGCAAAACAATAGGAAAGGTTTCATGGCATTTGAAGAGTTCATGGCTTCAAATACTGGATTTTTTTGTGAGAATCAATGCATTCTTTGGCATGTATTTCCATAAGCTCAATGAGGAGGCGGATGTATTGACTAAGCAGGGCGAAGGGAGGAGAGAGTTGTCGACGCTTTTCTAATTTATTTCTTGTCCTTCATTACTGCACTCTGTTCGGATTTTGATTCTACTAATATTTCATAGCTTTTTATTCCAATACACGAAAAACACACCGAAGGAAGGTTTGCTGCAATATAACTTATAATAGATGTCATTATAGGAAAGACCCGCCAGCTTGTGTAGATTCAACACCTTGTTTGAGGGAAAGGAATTTGATTTTTCTCTCACTATAAAATCTCTCTCTCTCTCTCTCTCTCTCTCTATTGGTACCAATCAAGAAATAGAAGGGCCAGAGGAAGGACAAGCAAAACGAGAAGAAGAAATGTTCTGCTACTGCTGTTCCTCTCTATGGCCTTTGATAACTCGGTGTTGCCCCTCTCCACATTATTTGTAGCTTCAACTGCCTAAGAACATTTAAAACAATATCAGTAAGTAAAGTGAAAAGTAACGATATGATCAAATTTAAGAGGGAAAAAAAATGTTAATAAATGGAAAAGAACACACTCTAATTTGGAAAAAAGAAGTGACATCTGCAAATGCAGATTATCAAATTTAGATATGTAAATCAATAGAAGAACAATTAATCTTTAATTAGCACAGAACTATGAGCTTCGCTTTCCTGAGCTCTCCCTTCGAAGAGGAATGCTACAACTGCTGAAACTGGTCCACTTTTAACTAGGTTGCGTGTTTTACCAGTTCTTACCTTAAACAACAGATGGTCACTCAATGCTATTAGATGGATGCATCAAGTTAATCTCCATTTGGAAATTGGTGGACATCATGGAGGGGATTCTTGAACTCTCCAATACTCCGGCACTTTCTGTTCACCATGTTCTCCAGTTTGTGAACTCAGAAAGTGCACGTCTTTTTGCTAAGAGCCCATGCTGGTCGAGAATCCGTTTCGTGCTGACCTAAACATGCATGTCTTGTTTCTTTGCACCTTGGGTACAATCGGCCATATACTCGGTAACTCTTATAACAAATTGTTATTGGAAAAGAGAGATAAAAGATGGAGAGGTATTAAACATCAATGACAACTAAAACTATTGGCTTAAAAGATGACAAGGGTAACGTTGCGGAACACATTGAACCATTTTACCCGAACCCAATACCAATATTCTTTCCTCCAATCAGGTACCCTCTAAACGTCCCTTGGTAGGAGAATATCCTAAATCTTTAGGTGAATATCCTAATTATTTAGGTCAGACTTCAAGAGTATTTATCTGAAAGAGAGATCATGTAAATACGATTAAGTTCTGCAATGCAATGTTACACCAGCATTGACACAGTATCAGTGTCTGATTATGTCGAGGCATTCTAGACATTGCCAGCACAGTGGCACGTTTATAACATAAAATAAGCATTAAATCAAGATATGTTTTATTAACTATATATTATATGAAACATTTTTTAAAGAAGTTCAATTAAAATAATTGTATTATATTACGTAATTTTTTATAAAGGTATATGCATATATTTTTTATGAACATATCATATGCCAATAAAGTGTGAACATAAAGTTCCTTAATAAATAATATATAATAAACCTTCCCATTTCTGCGTAACAGTATATTCAAACATAAAAGGTATAAATACAACAAAACATTGGGATATATAATAAAAGTACCAGCTTTTATAGGTTTATGACTATATTAATGATTAAAATTATATCTGAAATCAACAGCATGGTCAAGCATAGAAGTATTGAAGTGCCAAATGTGAGCTACATACCAACATGGCCAAATGAAATATTAGATAAAATAAAAAGAAAGGGCTATTAACCTCAAACAAACTCACCTTTGAAATACAGGACATTTTTCATGAAAATCCAAAAAGCTATTGTACTAATATCTATGTAATGTTTCAATTAACATGAAATGAAGAGCATTTGAGGAAACTGACAAAGGGCCAGAGGGGGGGCGGGAAGGGACTCGAATTTTTATTTTTACTTTTTTTTTGGGAAATGCTCAAAAGCCTACTCTAATTGGAACCCACTTTTAGCCTCCAAAAGCTTCATTCCTTATGCTAAACCTTGAATCACATCTAATCTTCAACCAAGATTTGTCGCCAAATGTCCTTCCAAACCTATGCCTTTGCCCCACCATCTTTGGCAAATGACAAAGCAATAAAAGGTAGCCATTGAAGGAAAAAAATATTAACAAAGCTAAGATCATTCAAATAAAATCTTGATAAAGTACAATTATCACCAATTAAAAACCCAAATGATTGAAAGTCAACCAACCGGATACTGGTCGATCAGTCTCTTATCTCAAATTGAAATATAAACAACAAAGAGCACACCCAACAATTTTCACTCCCATGACCATTGCATTGCCCCAAGGCCTATTTACATGTACACTAGACAACAGCAAGTCTTAATGATTGAATCTCCCCAATAGTTACAATTTTAATTTTAAGAGAGCTCTCTCCTGACATTGACATCTCTTCAGCTATGGTCTCCCTCCACTATGAGGTACCATCGTGTATGTTGTCCACGGATGACATAGTTTTGATCGATGAGACTAGAGGCAGCATCAACGCAAATTTAAAGGTTGGAGGGATAAGGTTTTGATGATGATGATGATGCATATTCTAAAAGTTTAATACACATATGATAAACATAAATTTTAAAGAAACATACTTCAGGTATTAAAGGCAGATACAGAACACTTTGATATATAATGGAATTTTAAAAGTGTTATAAAAATCTATCATAAATTATATCTTAGTATCAACATATGTCTTGCATTGTCGAAAGTGGTGAATCTTGGAAGCCAAACATGGTGAACCAAAAGACATGGGATGGTAAAATCAATGCTAAAAAATGCGGAGGCGGCTGCCTACGCGGGCCCCTCGTGACCGCTGGGGGGCGTGGGGGTATGGTATAATATAGATATAAGGGGCTGGAGTGAGGTACGTATACACATAAAAATAAAAGTGAAAAGTTAGAAAAAAGGAGGGTAAAGACCTATCAACTACCCTCTCCCTCTTGCTATAATATTTAACACTATCTAATATGTTAAATGTAATAGTAATGTAGTACTATAATATATTATTAATAATTTACTGATAATTTTAAGTAATAAATACACGTACAGCATCTGTTAGGAGGTGAGAGTTGGATCAAGTAGAAGGACTGAAAAGGGCAAGGGAGTAGGCCCAAAACAACATGGTTGGAAGTAGTCCGAAAAGATATGGGGACTTATGGCCTCACTAAGGATATGGCATTTAATAAAGCAGAAAGGAGAACTATGATTCATGTAGTTAACCCCAATTAATTGGGAAAGGGCTAAAATGATGATGATGAAGATGATGATGAAAAATATATATACCTTATAATGTAAGAAAGAAGGGAGAGGGCCAAGGTGCGAATCTTGGCCAAGGCACCTATGCTTAGGGTTCCAGCCTCGAGCACGCCTAGGCATTTTAAAGGGCCGATCTTTCGAAAATTGGGTAAAACTGATATAAACTACCATAATTTGCATCATTAAATGTCAAGGTTGCATTCTTATAGTGTTTGACCAATATTGAACGAGCCGTTTTTCCTCATTAAGACCCAATGCTGCTATGTCAAGTGAAAATCCAGGAAAATTGTAACTTTTTTGTAGTTAACATCCAAATAAGCTAAACTAACTCTATGGTACAATGCAACAAAACCAATGCAAAAAAAAACCATCCCATTTTACAATCATCAAAGTCCTTCATTTCGATGAAAATAATCTTTTTGACATTTTAGAAAGGAAATGTATCCAATAAGACCATACTTTTGGTATAAGGAAATCAAATCATTTTCGACAATTAGATGTTAAATCAAGTGGGTAGGGGTGTCATCAACTGGGCACAAATTCCAAAATATAACTTCTCAAATTATATGATACACTTTAAGTTGTTGGAGTTCCCATCTCATGGCTAAGAGTAATTGTGCCCTCCTTGTACCAAAAGCGAATAGTCTTATGACATACAATCCCTTTTGGAAATGTAGCATGTTGATCATAATATTTGAAGCATTTTGTTCACTGTTCAGAAACCATATTATAATGTCAAGTATTTTGGTATGCAGCAATCAATTGGGTCCTTATACCCAAAAACATTATATTGCTCTTTCTGAAGAAACAGATGTATATTGAAGAACATCAGCCACTCACACAAATGCATTGTCAACAAGGTAATGACATTATAAAAACATTAAGAGAACTGGTAAACAATGTGAAAAGATAACCTGTTCATATAGATGTTCTATCTGTTGGGCTTGTTGGAGAACATGCGTAGACATCAGGTGATTCAGAGCTGACATTTCAACCATCTTAGTCTCAGTTTCTTGAACTGCATCTAATAAAGAGGACAACTCTACCTGCAAAGGCACCAAGACATAAAGACACATCTTTAATTCCCTATAGCTAAAAAAAAATACAGGCATGACAGAAAGTTGAACCACCCATAATATTCCCCTAAAAAGAGGACAAATTACTTGAAGTGTCTGTGTCTCATCATCCAAAATTTGCTGCTTGATCCTAAGAGGTTCAGGTTGAAGTTCTTTCTCCTCCAGCTCAGAGACTTCTGGTCTGAAGCTGTGTGAAAGATTTGAATCAGGGACCTTATTTCGAAGTCGTCTGGGCATTGCTCTGTTAACAGCATCTTGGAATCGGATGGCTCTTAATTGGTCAAACTGAGCAGTCACTGCATGGAGACGTTCACTTAAAATCAAAACCTACATTTCAATAGAGATAGATTAGGTCGCATGAAGCTTTACAAACAATCTTCAAAACGCCTTAACACTGTTTCATGTAACGATGTACACTAGTTTTCCTATTGTCATGATTTTATGAGGACTTATTGCAATCAAACGCGTTCTTTCTTCAATAATCTAGTAAGCACATCAAACGCTTGGGCATTAGTTTTCCTAGTCACGATTTTATGAGGACTTATTGCAATCAAACGCTTTCCTTTTTCTTTTTCTTTTTCTTTTTTTTCAATAATCTAGTAAGCACATCAATCAAGCTTCAGAAATATTCAATCCTAAAGAAATCAAACAGGAATACTACAGATCATGAATGAGAAAGGATTATCAAGAATTCATAATTTTCCACACCGAAGCAACAATTCATAATTGTGCTTGGAAACAGAGGAATGCTAATTCAGGAAAATCTTTCTTGAACTATGCTTAGCAATTTCCCGGTAGCAAGGAATCTGATGCCTAACACAATAGAAGATATCCAAATTCCGAGTGTAAGTCTTCTATGGAAGATACGTTTTCTTTCACCATAGTTCGCCTCCAAACAATACCCTCTTGTTTTTTAGAAATGAACAGGTAACAAACTATAGAAGGATGTGCATTCTATTTGCATTTTCACAGTTCATTCTAAATATACGCACCCAGCAGTACTGGACTCCCAATCTTGATCATAAAAAATTTCCCATGTAATATGTTAATTTCTCAAATGGTTGTTAAAATGCAGATGCTGACGCACCCTTGAGGCACCCTTTGAAGCTTCAAAGCCTCCTGAGAGGACAATATGTTCTTTTATTAATTCCTCATTTCCTGAGAGGCTGAAAAACTCTTCAGTTTTGATGACAAACATAACTACTAAGGCATGCCCAGGAGGCATATTCTCAGAAATTACCCCTGAACACATTGGGCAAATCAATCATCATGGAACCTGGAATCAAAATTTTCTCAGCCAGCCTTGGGGATCTGGGTTTTCTTTCCCCTTTTCTTTTGGTTTTTTTCTTTTTGTTTGTTTTTTTTGGGTGCCGAGGGGTGCGGGGTGGTTATTACCGGTCAAAGAATTACTCAACACATATACAGAGTACTGTTGTTACATTGTGATTGTCTAGGTTTAAAATTAGGCCCTGCCTCTAAATGAGCCCCTAGCCAACTTAAGTACACACTAAATTTAAAATATGGTCCATAGGAGACACATATCGAGCTCAGACTTCCTTACATACCCAAAGATGGTGGCACTAATCAACTAGATTACAAATCAGAAAATAAATTTGCTGACATTTATGAAGCATTAAACGATTTGAAGAGACTCATTTCATGTCGATGTGAGCGTCAAATGATCCAACTAATTTTTTTTTAATCTAGAAAAAGAAATAAAAATTTGGTATTTCCCTGGGCTCTAGTAACAGTCCAAAATGAGTTGTTCACAGTCTTTAGAATTTGAAAGAGTGCCGCCTTGACTGCAAAGGTGTAGGCCTCATGATTGATGTGCCCCAAAGGCAACAGTACATGGCGAAGTGGGTGTGCGAATAAGAAGACGAAGAGGAAGAGGGGTGGGGCACTGAGGGAAAGAAGGGGCATGTGTAGGGAGGAGGAGAAGGAGGCCTTTATGTATTAATATATATGAGGGTGGCAACAAGGGAAAAAGAAGGACAGGAAGAGAAGAGGGGATGTGAAGCAGAAGGAGAAGGAAAAGAGTGTAGGATGAAGAAGCGGAAGAGGGGTGGTAGTGTGTAAGTAGTAGGAGGAGGAGGAAGAGCAGTAGAGAAGAAGAAGCAAGAGGAGGAGGAGGAGGAGGAAGAAGGGAAGGAAGAGGAGAAGGCGAAGGAGAAGCAAGGGAGGAGGAAAAGACTAAGAAGGCTACAGGGAAGTAGAAGCAGGAGAAGGAGAAGAAGCGGCAGCAGGAGGAAAATAACGAAGAGCAAGGAGAAGGGGAAGTAGAAGCAGGAGAAGGAGGTCGAAGAAGATGAGGAAACAGAAGCAATAGAGAAAACAAGAGATAAATAGCAAAGATAATTAAATTATAGGAGCAAGAGAATAAGTTAAACTGCATGAGGGAACAATAAGTGAATTCCATCCAAACATTTGCCTACACATGAAAAGCATGTGAAAGATAATTAAATTATCTTTGATAGATACAAGTACATGGTCTAAGAAGGGTGAGGACCTTAAATTTTCCCTTAACCCCTCATAAGCCTGGGTAAAGGAGATGGATTGTGTTAGGTAGGCAAGCTAATGTAAAACTCTGCCAAAACTTTCCATGAATCCTGAATATACGTTATCCGCACATATTAGGAGGTGCGAGTTGATTCAAGTGGAAGGCTCAAAAAGGACAAGGGATAAGCCCAAAAGGACATGGTTGAAAGTAGTCAGAAAAGATATGGGGACTTATGGCATCACTGAGGATATGGCCTTGGATAGAGTAGGATGGCAGATTAGGATTTTCAAGTAGCCGACCCCAAATAGTTGGGAAAGGGTTCTGATGATGAGACATGAGTACAACAATATCAAAACTAGGGTTAAGGGAAAGCACGATCTTCAATTAGACAGCGTTAACCCTTAAAAAGGATAACTAGTTTGGTCAACTTCCTGATTACCCTTACCCAAAAAGAAACTCAAGGACAAGAAGTTTGGGACTGGACCATCACATTAATTTCACCAATCCTGACTAGCCAAATGATATCAAGGACTCCCCAAAAGACATCCTTATAGCCACCTCTTGGGAAAACCATTTAGTATCCCCATGCCTTAGAAGCTCAAGACTAAATGCACATTCTAGGGTTAACATGCACAGGCATACACACAGACAGGCACATACTGAAAATGGCAGACTCATTTTCAACATTCTTTATTATGCATTTTCTTTAAAAAAATATTCTGTTCACCTAGACAAGATCTAGGTATATGAAAATTTTAGGTCCAACAAACCCCAACTTTTCAAAGTCGCTTACGCTACAATATAAGCCCATTAACTTATACAACATTTTTCCATATGTGTGTGTGTGCGTGTAGCAGCTCATTTTGAAGTAGGTCAATAATCATAATAGTAATTCATTTCTGATAAAAGAAAAGCATTTGTTCCATCAAAAAAAATCCCTAGAACAAGAATAACCCAAGAAGACAAACAATAGGAGAAAAGAGAAAAGTCATACCACGCCATGCCTATGAGCTATAATGTCTGCATGAGAGTTATCTTCTTGTATACTCAGCCATTTTCTTGATTTGACTTTATTATTTTCATTGTAGATGCTATTTCGGAGGCAATCAATCTGATCTTTGCATGTCTTTATAAATACACTAACCTGCAGAAAGTGGACTGGATAGATCAGATAGGGCGTTTGCAAGAACCGTACTAATAGAAAGGTTAAACATTCATCCATCAACAATTAAAACTAATAATAAGCTTATCATAAGACTATGACAAGAAAATAGTACTGTTGTTTTGCAAAATGAGCAAGCTAAGATCCTTTTCATTACCCTGAAATATTTGTTATACTAACCAAAGGTTAAAGAAGTAAGACAGAATAGAAAATTCATTAAGCAGAATGGACATCTCATATTGATGTGAACAGAAATCACATGATTAACTACAGAGTATCCCCTTCTCTATTAATACCATGATATAGCATTCAACAAAACAACACAAGGCTTCTGGATTTTGAATGTCCTCAAGAAGCAGCTCCAAATGCTAAGCATCTCACTCAGGATGAACAATTCAACAGTCCTCACCAATAGCGCAATTCTACTAATACCTAGAGGGGGAGATGGTAACTATTAGTCAATGCAACATGAAATTCCAAAATAGATCATTGTGCCTTCCAAAGAATCCACTGAGAGTAACAGTTGACAACATCAATAGCTCTGAGTTCCAAAAAGCCACTGTAGTGCTCCCTCAATACTCATATATTGAATCGTCATGTAAAATTCTATGTACCACTGTAGTGCTTCATCAATACTCATCTATTGAATCGTCATGTAAAATCCTATGCACCTGACTCCGCACTAATATCCTCCAATTTCTAAGACTTTCACCTCAGTGCTCCCCCATCATGTTTCCAAATTAAAGCTGATTTTCAAAGACCTGTGTCTTCCCCGTTTTGATCAAACTAAAAAACCATGACAAACAAGACTTGTATTTCATTTCAAGCCACTCTACAGACATGGCAAATCTCCCTTGCATGTGTTGATATAGGTAAATGCTGAATATCTGAGAGAACTCCCCCCAAAAAGGAATAAGGAACTACAGATGGTATGGAGATGATTACGTGATAGGTCTGTGCACTTGATTGATGACGTGAGTCCAATTCTATTTATTTTTTCAATAAGGTCATTCTAATTGTTGAAAATGAGAGTGCTAGGGCCTAGATTTTGTGTTGCATTTGTGTGTAGGAACTATGATCTAAAATCATGAAAAGACCATAAGCTTAAAAGCTCCACACTCTTTCTCATTGTGTTATAAGGGCAACAGGCAAAGATATCCATCACCATCTAACATCAAAAAAGATGGAATTAATTATACCCAAAATGACACTAAAGAAAAATGTGCTGTAATAGTTCTACAACTTTATATGCAGAATTTAAGTGCATGAGTTAGCTTGAGGAACCAGTCCCTCTTTTTATGGATAAGTTAGCAACTTCGCATGAGGATTCAGATGCCTACCCATCCACTAATGAAAAAAAATAACCTGTCCTAAAACAGAGGCCAAAGTACACCTCCACATCAGAGATACACTTGCCATGACATGCATGTGATGCCATTGCCATCTCACTGAAACAACATGCATATGTTGATGCGAATTCAAGATCAACAGAAATCAATGAAAGAGCTAAAAATGGGATTAATAATTGAGGGTGGAAGCCTCGGAGCCAAGCTTCATAACTTCCTCTGGTTAAACCAGGAAATCCCAAACAAATAATACGAAACTCTAACTCAAAACCCTACACAAAACCCATATTTATTGACTAGACTCACCTTAAACACCCTTAAACCTACTTTTAATTGAAGATTCCCAATGAAATTATAAGACGAAATGATTTGGATTCCCAAAAAAGAAAATAGCGACCCCCTAACATAAATAATTAAAATCTTAAACCCTAAAAAAGGAAACCAAAATTTAAACCCTGAAAAATCCAAAAATACATCACCATAGTATTTGAAAAATAATCAAAAATCCAAATCTTATCCTGGACCATATGGTCACCAGATCACAGGGAATAATAACTGTTTAAGAGAAAAGAAGACGATAAAGACAAACATAACTCTGTGTCTCTATTCATAAAAGACATTCCAGAAAGATCCACACTCCAATTCGCAATAATAAACAAGTGCATCCAGTGAAAAAGAGGTACACAGTAAACAAGACATTGTCTCTTAAGACAGCAAATTGAAAGATTCAGGGCTTAATAATATATAGATAAGGATGCTCTAGCAAGTTCATCAGATATATCAGCAAACTCACTTCATGCTCGATGCTATCCCGTTCTTGTTCAATTGTTCGATGCAGATCAACATAGTCCTTCCGATGCTTGACAATGAAACGTTCAAGTTCTGCAATGCTTTCAAGCTATGCAAATATAAAAATAAAAATAGAAATAGTGCATCTTGTAGAGCATTTTTTGACCGTCAATTTTTTAAGTTATTCAAGTTTTCATATATCTGCTCGATCTACACTATTTTTGAAGCTTTAAATTTTATAATTAAATATGAAAATATATTTTAAGGCTAGTCAAAGATTTCCCGTATTGAAATCGCATTTCTCGACACTATTTGAAGATGGGCTCTAATCCGATTGTTAAGAGCCTCGGCTCTATACAAACCGCACCCCTTAAGTATTAATAGTATTCAGTATATGGATAGAAATTATAACAACAGAACTTGAACAAGATAATAATGCGCAACATACTGTTTTGAGAGCTGCTTTAATAAAAGGCGACTTTTCACAAGGCCTCGGCAGTATTAAGGATGCTGATATGGCGGCCATCTGGGACTGCAAGAATGTAGCTTATCAATAAAAGAAAAACCAAACACACACACACACACACACAGTAAAAAGATATTGTCAGCCAGAATGTATACAGAACACTAAATGCCCAATAGTCCATATTCAATCTGGGCCACCTGGATGACCGCAGTAGCATGTTGGTGTTTGAATTTTTTCTTTTCCTCACAAGTAGGATTGACCTGAAATCTTGAGCATATGGACCTTACTTGGGAGCAACTAAATAATAATTTGCAATATAAAAAATGCCCAAAAAACACTCACACCTTATCAGGAATGTTGCAGGGCTATAGGCACGCCCACTTGCGATACACACACGGATTTCACGTCAATGTTCTTGTAATATATATATATATATACTAAAATCCAAACACTAAACAGCAACCATGACTATCTGATCAGCCTAGATTGGATCTGGTTCACGGATTCTATATGAGATTCTACACTACTATGGGAGCATTTTCTCCATTCAATCCCTACACCAAACTATTCAAGGATTACATGAGTACCCAATTTTGGGGATGTAACCTCATTAACCTCGAGACAAACCTCAAAAATTTATTAAAAAAAATGAAAAATTAAAAAATGAGAAGATCTTCATATGGGCCAGAAAGAATAATGCTTGAAGACCGAAGTGTGACCATCCAATTTTAGGACAGTCAGATCTAGCTGTTTAAGAACTCACAATCCAAATTTCTTACTTTCCGAATAATCATCTAGTGATTCTTAGGCAGAACTCAACATTTCAGATGGAAGTAAGTGCATAGTATATGCCATTCCACCCCCTCCCCAAACAATTCAGGCTTGCTTTAATCCAAAACGCACACCAAAATTAGTTTTCACGCCTGTCTGAGCCGAATGCTATCTAGGGTTTACACCAGATCTGGTTATTCTTGAAGCAAAGTGCCATAAACAAAATAGAAGAGGACCAAGTCACCTGTAAAAAGAAAAATGAGTAAAAAACCAGCTCAGATAGAGAGAGAGAAAGATGTAAGAGGCTGCTTCGGGGACATAAGATGGATCAAAGGTCCCCCTCAAAAAGGCCTCTCATGACGCCTCCTAATTGACTAGATAATATCTATAGAGATGACCGTTATCTGGCTACTCATGAGGTCATGAACCTAGGAGAAGAGGAAGAAGAACAAAGAGAACGCAAGACAAGAAATTGCCACAATGTAAAACTAGGGCTTGGAGGAGGATATCAGGGTATAGATAATAGGGCACCAAAGATCTTGGGCATGCCATCACTCTCCCTTCCCTGGCTACTCATGAGGCCACAGGAAGAAGTAAAGAAGTTCAAGGAAAACAAAGAATAAAGAAGAAATTGCTACAATGTAAAAATTAGAGATTGTAGTAGGACATCGAGATTTAGCTAATGGTACATTTGGAAATGACCTCACAGCTCTCTTTCTGCTTCTCCCATAGATGGTATCAAAGTATCTATAACATCCGCGGAAATCTATTTCTACCATATATGCATTTGTTTCATGGTAATACAATGACAGCTCCATCGAAAAACTATGTTAAGGGACATTGTATCACCACAAATTTTGCAAACACTCTTTCACCTCAAAACTCTTCTCAAAAAGAAAAAATTAAATTTGTGCTCTAGAGAAGGTCCAAAATGAGTCGTGCTCCAACAATGAATGTGCTCCATTCGGTAGACATAAAGATCTTGGCATTTAAGAACTCAAAATTATCATTGACAAAAAGATCTAGGCATTTAAGAACTAAGACATGAAGTATCAAACCAATATCATCTAAGGAAACATTACTAGTAATGGAGGGGATTTTACAGAGGGTATGGTTAGACGAAATACAAGAGAAAATAAATGAATGCATTGTTTTCAAATTATGATCCCCTAGCCCTCTGACACATCTCCTATTACCCTTAACGTCAAAATTATAATATAAAGTGTAAAGTTGTACAAATAACATAACTCTCTAGAAAGAAAAAACCAAAAAATTGCTAAATATTTATATTGTCCGAATAAATCTAAGGAAGAAGCTGTTCAATTTTGCTCCCTCCCCTCAAACAATTCGGGCTTGCTTCAATTCAAAAGCAAACAAAAATTAATTTGTGCCCCTGTCTGAGCCGAATGCTATTTAGGGATTCCACCACATCCGGTTATTCTTGAGGCAAAGTCCTATAAACAAATAATAGAGTGCCAAACCACCTGTAAAATGAAAAACAAGTTAAAAACCACACGACATATATGTGTGTGTGTGTGTATATATGGAGAGAGACAGAGAGAGAGATGCAAGAGGCTGCTTGGGGAACAGAAGATGGATCAAAGGTCCCCTCAAAAAGGCCTCTAATCAAAATATATGCCTCCTAATTGGCCAGATAATATCCATACAAATAACCATTATCTGGCTACTCATGAGGCCGTGAAACGAGAAGAGGAAGAATGAAAAGATGGTAAAGGAGAGCAAGAGAAAAGGAACAAAAATTGCTACAATGTAAAATGGGGGTTTAGAGGAGGATATCAAGGTTTAGATCATAGTTGTTGGGATTGGGAGCGGGAACGGTATCGGGATCGGGAGCGAGGGATCATGAAATGCTAGAAGATCCCTATGGTTGGGAACGCCGTCTGTACAATGCACATGTTAGGAATCGAGATTCCCAAATGTTAGGGATTGAGATTCCAAACCTTTCGGGGATCTTGATCCCAACTTTTTGGGGATCTCGTTACCACCCTTAAAGTGTATAATAACCTAGGATTATGTATACCCTTTAGAGTAGGGATCTCGTTATTGCTAGCAAGCAAGCAATAGTTGTGTTGCTAGTTGGCTCCAAAAAGAAAATTATCAGTTTGGTTATTGTTTTGGTCTTTAAGGTTGGGATCGAGATCCCTCGCAGCAGGAATAGGGATCTATATCAGTGGAGGTCGAGATTTAAAAATCCAGATCCCTGAGAGATCCATTCTGAGAGTAACAAAATCGAGATCCTAGAAGGGGATCGCCTACCAAAATAGGAGATCCCGATAACTATGATTTAGATAATGGTACACCCACGATTTTGGCCATGGCCTCACTGCTCTCTTTCCTGGCTACTCATGACACCACGAAGAAGAGGAAGAAGAGAAAAAGAAGGTTAAGGGAAATAAATAAAAATGAATTAATCGCTATAATGTAAAATTAGGGCTTGTAGAAGGATATCAGGGTTTAGATAATGGCGCACCCATGGTTTTCGCCATGGTCTCACTACTCTCTTTCTGTTGCTCCCATGGATGGATGCTATTTAAGTATCTAGGGTTAAAGTCTGGAGAAATCTATTTCGACCATATATGCACTTGTTACATGGTAATATAGTGGCATCACTCCATTGAAAAACTATGTTAAGGGTACTGTTATCACCCCAAATTTTACACACACTGTCACCTCAAAGATCAATCTCAAAAAGAAAAAAATTGAAGTTGTGCTCTAGAAAAGGTTCAACATGAATCATGTTCCAACAATGAATGTGTGTTGTCCATTTGATGGACATAAAGGTCTTGGCCTTCAAGAACCCAAAACATTTTTTTTTTTTCTAAAATTGTGCATCTAATGACGATAAGGTTGAACTTAGACATGAAGTATCAAGCCATATCATCTAAGGAAACATTACTAATACTGGATGGGCTTTGATGTTGGGTATGGTTGGATGAAATACAAGAGAACATAAATGAATGTGTTGTTCTCAAACTATATTCCCTAAGCCCTTTGACACAGCTCCTATTGAACTTGCTTTTCGCCTCCACATTATAATATAAAGTTTATAAGTTGCACAAAAGCACATAATTCTTTAGAAAGAAAAGACTAGCGGGTTGCTAATAAAGATACATAGTTCCTCAGAATGGGAAATGATTTTCAGATGACGCTCTCAATGTAATCAACATCTATTGTGTCTAAGCCCTCTAGGATCTGTTAATTATTATAAAAAGGTTTGTTTCTTTGCTGATCCATTTGATGACAGTCATACTGCCTTCCTTAATCACTAATGAGATTCAATATATATAAATAAATATATAATATAAATATATGTATATGCATTTATTTCTTTACAAGGGATATAAAAGAGTGGTAACCATTTATATTAAAGTAAATCTAAGGAAAATGCTGTCAAATTTCTCTCCTTCCCCTGAAACAATTTGGGCTTGCTTCAATCCAAAAGCACTCAAAAATTAAAATCGTGCCACTGTCAGAGCAGAATGCCATCCAAGTTTTCCACCACATCCAGTTCTTCCTGAACAAAGCCCCATAAAATGAAAAACGAGTTAAAAACCACCTCTGAGAGAGAGAGAGAAGGAAGAGAAGAAGGACTTGGGGGGGAGGGGGAGGGGGAGGAGGAGGAGATATGTAGGAGGCTCCTTAGGGGACAGAAGATAGATCAAAGGTCCCCTCAAAAAGGCTTCTCAACAAAATTTATGCCTCCTAATTGGCCAGAAAATATCCATACAAATGACCACTATCTGGCTACTCATGAGGCCATGAAACAAAAAGTAGAGAAAGAACAAAAAGAAGGTAATGGAGAAAAGGGAAAAGGACAAGAAACTCCTAATATAAAATTAGGGTTTGAAGGAGGATATCAGGGTTTAGATAATTGTCCACCCTGGAGTTTGGCCATTGCCTTGCCGCTCTCTTTCCTAGCAACTCATGAGGCCACAAAGAAGTGAAGAAGAAGAAAGAGAAGGTCAAGGAAAACAAAGAAAAAAGACGGTATTACTATAATGTAAACTTAGCGTTTATAGGAGGATATTAAGGTTTAGATAATGCTGCACCCAGGATTTTGGCCATGGCCTCACTACTCTCTGTTTACCATTCCCATGGATGGATGTTAAGTATCTGGGGTTAAGGTCACAAAATCTATTTCTACCATATATGAAATTGTTTCATGGTATGACATCACCCCATCAAAAAACTATCTCAAGAGTATTTGTATCACCCCAAATTTTGCGCGCTTCCACCTAAAAGATCAATATCCAAACGAAAAAAATGAATAAGTG